AATAAATTTGGTGTTTTTGCCCAATTATTGGATTTCACTCTGGGTTGTCTGTGCTGTCTTTCACAAAAGATCTTTGATTTATAGCATCGGTCTTGATTATTTTGATCCCGTCGATTTTGTTGGTGATCCGATCCCTTATCCCGGCTGAAGGCCAAGTGGTTTCTAATTCCCAGTTGAATGAACTCTTTATTAGATTCATCAATTCCCTTGTCGATTCGTACTGTGCTAGCGCCTCATTGGATCTCCAGTTTATTTGGTAAGGTTTTTTCTTGGTCATAATTACATCTTCGCGCATTTCAAACTATGTAGTTGTTGATTTTAGTAATTATAGATTATATATGAGATATAATTTGTTTCTTTTTTATGTTTTAAGTTTTTGTAAATATATATATATGTATACTCTTTTAAATATTGGCTTCGTGTTTCAAATTTCAAAAGAATATGTATCTTTAATTTATCAGCTTGACAAATTGTCCACCATAGTAATTTATTCATCAATTCGTCTTAGATCTAGGTTTGAGATTAGTCTAAATAGGGATGGGGAAAAATATGATCTTGTTACTAAACTCATATGGCCCATTCAATTCAAGTAAAAATTTAAAAATTTGATCGATCCAATATAACCTTTTTTTGTACAAGTATATTATATTGAATATTCAAAAAATTTTGGATTGGATTTGAATTGCCATGTAAAAGTCTAGGATTCAAAATATCCAATCTTTGAAAAATAAATTCATGGTTATAAAAATAATAAAATAAAATCCCCTCAATTACTCCTTGTCGGCAACACCACCTCTCCTCCTTTGCCCGACCCTAAAACGACATGCCCCCACCCCGAAAAGGCACCCCAAACCCTAAAACCCTACCCCAAAACTAAGAATCGTAATAAACAAAATCATAAGCCAATTTAGGGTGGTTTCATGGAAAGAGTTTGAATTGGGGGCGTTTCGGGGTGAGGAAGGGGATGGTGGGTTGAATTGGGATTGGGGATAGAGGAAGGGTCATTTTGAGTAAGGGAGAGGGAGGGTGTCGTACGTGGTGGGGTGGGGGAAGAGGGAGGGGTTCACCAGCATGGCAGCATGGGTGACTAGGCTAGGGGGTAATGGACAGCTGGGCAAGGGAAGGGGTGGGTGGGGGTGGGGGAGGAGGTGGTCCTTCTAATAAAAACTAAAATAATTTTATTGTTAAAAAATTAATAATAAATTAAGGGTTTTAATTATATAATTATTATCTTTGATAGTTAATAATATAATATTATCAATGATAATAATTTTTTTTTAATTCACCAAAAAGAAAAATAAGAACTCGAGTCTTACCAAAGATAATTTCTTAAAAATAATATAATTTTAGTAAAAAATATTTTATGTTTCGCAATATCAATTAAATTTATTAAAAATTAAGTTTAGTAAAAATAAGTTAGTCAACTGAAAATCAAGTAAATAGACCATAGGCCTTAGTCATGGTATTTTAGAGAAAAGAAATCTCTAACTTAGCTTACCCACCGCCAAACTAGATCAAAGCAACCCAAGCCCATATCCAAGTAATCCCACAATATAACCCAAAAAACCAACCACCATCCCTCCCAAAAATCTAATCCAAGAGGGATTTATTTTGTTTTTCAAAACCACAAACTTTCAATTATATCCCAATAATACATTTCCAATGTTTTAAAATAAATCTCTTATCAAACTAGACATGTGTGTCGATTTAAACGATTGACTAATACTGTCTTTTAGTTATCAATAAGTATATGTTATAAAAAGTCGATATTGAAAAATATACATTGAAACGATTCTAACAAGTACCCAGATGACTATGTATTATTCTAATTTATAGATCATTAACATTTGGCTTATGTGAATAGTGCAAAAAGTCAAAATTAAGCTTTTATTTTGAAATGAAGGGAGTACAAAAACTGGGAATGCAATAATCATTTTGATTTCCATACTTCTTTCGTTCCAAATTAGATAACGCATTTTGAATTTTTGACACTATTTATAAACTTTGTTTTGATTAACACTTGTGATTCCTAGATAGAATTATGTATAGTAATTTGTGATCTTGTTAGATTCGTTTCAATGTGAAATCAATTTTTTTGTATATAATAAAATTAAAAATGTTTTGGGTAATTCTCAATGGTACTCTTGAGATTTTTTTTTTATTCTCAATGGTAAACGACATAAAAACAAATTATCTTTTGTAATCATGAATTATTATAAAAGTTATTTATAACATTAATGATAACTTTTCATTAAAAGTTAACTATGGTTAGGTTAATTTTAATTTTTTAACAATTAAATGAAGTCAGCCACCACCAACAGCCAACCTTCATCCCTACCACCCTTTTCTCTGCCACCAGCCCACCACTACTGCCACATCCTTCGGGCCCAGACAAGACCCCACCCTCGCTGGCGTGCCGACATTCCCAGCCGTCGTCCCCCCTAAACCACCACCCATGCCCGAAACCTCCTCCCTCTCTCACCGAAATCCCATTAAAATCCTTACCCCAATCGCTCCAACCCGCTGCCTCCACCTATGCCCATCATCGATCCGGCGATCCCCCTCCCTGATGCGGCGTCTCCTTTCCCTTGAAGCCCACCAGCGCAACCTCCTATCCCCACGAAACACTCCTAAAACCATCTCCAACCCTCGAATTGGGTCAATCGGGGAAAGATTACGCGATAGGGGAGGGGGTTTTAGGTTTTAGGGGATGTGTCGGGGAGAAAGAGGGTTTCGGGGAAGGAATTGGGTCGATCGGGGGAAAGATTACGCGACAGGGGAGAGGGTTCAGTGCGGCGCTGGCGTCGTGGTGGAGGGATTTGGGTGCACCGGTGCCGGGGGGCTGTTTGAGCGTGCGTGGAGCAGTGAAGGGATGGCGCGTGGGTGGCTACCTGGCTGGGCGGGTGGGGATGGGTGGTGTTTTTTTTTTTTTTAAATAATTTATTTATTAAAAAAATAATAAAACTAACCCTAGTTAAAGATTTTTACCAAAATACATCATTAATGTTATAGTTAATATATATTAAAAATTTATGATTACCAAAGATAATTGGATTTTTTTGATGTTTACCATCGAGAATATAATAAAAAATTGATGAGTACCATTGAGAATTTTCCAAATGTTTTTAATTGAACTTTTACATTAACAAATCACAAATGTGATAAAGAGAAACGTGTCAACTAATTTAAAACGAAAAAAAGTATAAATTTTCCTGTTCTAAACATATACCAATAGTAAAACACATGAGATCATGTTTAAAGGATTGTGGGCTCACATATATCTGTGAGCCCTCCAAGGCTCCAAACTTTATATACGACTCATCTTCCTATTCCATTTGTCCCCTACTCATTACTCGTCACTCTATTCCCTAAGCCAAAGATCTATAAATAAAATCAAATAAGCCATGGTTCCTTCTCACTTCTAATCTTTCATCACCATGAACATATTGACCATTCTACCCCTAATTGACCTCCTCCTCCTCCTAGTTCTCAACCAACAATTCACCGTCACCACATCGTACTCATTATCAATCCATGTTCTTCTTAAGTTATGTTGCTACAATGTGCAACGACAAAGATTATATAATTGATAATTTGAGAAGATCATGGATTGATAATGAATAATACGATGCGATCATAAATGAGAATGAGTCTTTTCCAAAACAATTAATTCAATAAAAGAAAATGATAAATAAAGCCCTTAGCATTAGGGCGCATAGCCCATACAAGAAGCTTAAAAATGAAATATTGATAATTATTAAGCATTATCAGCACTATAGGATGTATGATTTTTTTTTTTGTAAATTCTCAAAATTTTATCAAATTAGAAAATGTATTTAGTGCTTATTTGCAAGCCTACTGCTAACAACATTATGGTAGCACATAACTATTAAATAAATTCTTATAAATGATATATTTTTGAAAATTTGCGATCAAATTACGTGTTAATTAGTGTTATCGATGCTTAATAAATCTTCATATTCATTTTAATCTTCCTTCATATATATGTGTTGCCTATAGGGCTTCGTATTTCATTTCCCATTAAAATAAAAAGTATTGGATATCGACAAGACATGTGAGTTGTGAATGGGCTTTGTTTGATTATGAAAATATCAATACAAACCTGATACAACATGACTTTTTTTTCTTAGCTCGTTCTAGGCACAGCTCAGTGTCATTCAACACGTGGGGTCGATTACAGTGGGCTCCTAGATAGGGTCGTGTATGAAGGTCGGTGGGCTCACAAATAATATTTGGGAGCCCACCTCCCTTTATATACGACCCATCATCTCCCTATTCTCTCCCCCACACATTAGTCATTTCTCATCACTCTATTCACTCAACCAAAAATCTCCAAATTAAAGAAGCAATGGTTTCTACTCAATTCTACTCCTCCACCACCATGAAAACAATGACCATTTTACCCCTAATCGTCCTCCTCCTCCTTACTCTCTCGACAAACATCGTCATCGCATCGTATTATTCACTATCTATACACGATCTTCTAAAGAGTCGTGGCCTCCCTGGAGGGCTCTTTCCAATGAACGTAAAGTCCTACACACTTAGCCAAAATGACTTGTTAGAGGTGTTCTTTGACGAGCCATGTGAGGCTAAGTTTGAGACGTTGGTTCGATTCGATACCGTGGTAAGGGCTAACCTGTCATTTGGTGGTCTAAATGGTGTTGAAGGACTTAGCCAAGAAGAGCTATTTTTATGGTTACCGGTTAAGGGTATAATCGTCCAAGATCCTTCTTCGGGTGTCATATTGTTTGATATTGGCGTTGCGCAAAAACAGCTTGCTTTCTCTATCTTTGAAGATCCTCAATTTTGCAATCCTGATAGTAATAATTCTTCTTTCTTTTTTTTCTCTTTTCTTTATTTAATTTTTAATGTTTTTTTATTTAATTAATTATAAGATTAATTTATTACATTATTTTGAGATTTAATTTATTCTAATGAATATATATGTTTCCTCAAAAAATAAAAAAAAATTTGTATGTGTTTTTTTTTAACGTGGTTAAAAAATGACAACATTGAAAAAATGTGTGATATATACCTTTAAAAAATATGGGTTTAAGTCATTAAGTGAAATATATTTTACTAAAGAATATACATTTAAAAATATTAAATGTACTACGTGTAATTATATACATTTCAATTATTAGTTCATTTTGGTTGAAGAGATAAGTTAATGAAGAACATGGGAATTAATTCATTAAAAAAAACAACGGTGAATTATTATTCGACTTACAACATTGAACATGTTGTATACGAGTATTTAATTTGTTTTTTTTTTGAAGGTTTTTATTATTTAAAGTCAAAGGTGTAAGACTGAGTTAATATAGCACCTGATTTTTGCCTAGTTTAATTTATTGATTAAGTGTTGTTGCAAAAGTAAATGTATGATTAAGACACTAAAACAAGGCTTTCCCTCTTAATGAAAATGATAGTTGAGAGTATAAATTAGGATGACCTTATTAAAGATTATAATTTTGGTTATTCAATACTTAATCTATAAAATATTGTGCTAAAAATAATAGTTTGGTTAATAAAATTCATTTATTTTTATATTAATTACAAACCCAATAGTGGCTTTAGATATTATCATAGGGCTATTAATGTATTTACACTTAGGCAAAAACTAACGAACGCCCCGGGGGCGTTAGATAAGCTAGCTAAAAGTAGAAAGATTAAATCAAAATGAACATTAATTACACTGATCAACTCGTGATTTTGTCATGTTTATTCAAATTTATACCACTTTTGATAGTATTTTTAATTCTTATCCAACAGCGCCCCAGGGGCGTTCGTTAGCAAGATCCTTATATATTTAATCTAAACCAAACAAATTTAGATGAAACAAGTGCAGAAAAATAAGTTGGCTAACCAAAATGACTTTTAAAAGTTAAAATATTTTCAAATTATTGAAAATCAAGTATATAAAACGCACTTAAATATATAATATCATGTTTAAAATATTGTATCACTTTTTTAAATTTTAATCAACTAAACTAGTTGATCAAACTATCCTGTTACAAAATACTTTTTAATATACACATATGGCAATATAACATTTATGAAAAAAAAATCTTTTGACCACCATTAAATGTAACACATTTAAATAATTTGGGTGACAGCTAAAAGTAATTATAATTCCTAGTCACAAACAAAAAATGTGGGTTGGTCAACATCGGTTACACAAAATTTACGAATAATTCATGTGCATTTTTATGGTTATAAACTTTTTTAACTCATAGCTAGCAGCCTTATTAACAAGTGAAAAATAATGTGCATAATTGTTTTCCTATTGGTCCATTTTCTATTATGTGGGACCATTAAACGTTTATAAATTATAATGTTGGAATAATAATCAAGTTTATGTTATTTTGCGTTGTTATACTCGTGAATTACTTCACTTACATTGGGCCCTTTTTTCAGTTTTATTATGTGGGGCCCAAATAACTTCCTATGGGAATATACAATGGGCTAATATTACTACTTGTAAACTAGCAGTAGGCTTTAAATTTGTCCTTAACAAAGAAGTAATTAATATGATAAAATTAAGTTTTAATAAAAAAATATGCTTGTTGGTTTTAAAGTAGTACGAGTACTAATATTGTTATATAAAGATGAATTTATACTCCATATATAACAATTAATTGAATGTTGAGTTTGTAATTTTGAATTTCCGTATCCATAATTAATTTGCATGATTCAATCTACTCATAATGCATTAAATTTATTTCTTATGAAGAAATTAAATATACTTTAAAAATTTAAATTTGAGCTGAGCTTTTTATTAACGTACACATTATAAAATTGTTGATCAAAGTATTTCAATTATTAGAACTCTATATGGTAATCGATCAACAATTATTGAGATTGATTTGTACTGCCTTAACCTGTGTATCGTAGTGTTTCCATGTTATGATCTAATAATTCGATAATATAGTCATTAGTTACATGTAATGTTTCGTTGAGATAATAAGCCTACTATATTGTTTCTTGCTTATTATGACATTTTGTTAAGAGGTGACTTTTACTTGGTTTAGATTATGCTTGTGATATATTGAATGACTAGTTATGTTTGTATATATGACGTGCTATATTTTCTTTTGCTCATTTGAGAATTCCAAAATTATGATTTCTAACAATAGTTATTTAATTATGATACAAAAATGCAGGTTCTTATATACAAATGCCACTTGGAAGGAAGGGGAGTGATCATAACCATCAATATCAGAGATAACAAATAGCTAATTTTCTCCATAATAATAATAATAAAGAATACAAATTTTGATAAAAAAAAAGGTGGGAATTCATTGATTTATATATTGATAGGACAAAGGGTTGGAAAGAATCAAATGTTGGTGTTTTTGTCGCAAAAATGTTTGTTCTATCAAGTAAAGAAATCATAGAAAAGTTCAAAAAGAAAAGTTTGTTTAAGGTTTTATGCTTGCTTAATCTTCTTTTTTGCTTAGATTAATGACTTTTAAAGATTAAATTAAAGCATTTGAGTATAGATCTTCCTTTTAGGATTGTATTCTCAATTACAAGTACAAGCATCAACTCCACCTGACTACAACAAAATCATAATTTGACACGTCCTTAGCTTTAATTATATTTATAATTCTTAAAAGCAATTTTGCATAATAAAAGAGTGATATAGGTTGATTTATAGATTAGTAGTGTATATTGAGGTGGAAAATGAGTGGATCATCTAAGTTGTTTAGGGTGAATTTTGTTTGTGTATGGTCATTTTTTGACAATGAGTCATTGAGTTGATCGAGTATAAGTCAAATAAAACCGAGTATAATTAGTCTATAATGTAATAATAAAAAATAGTAATGTTTTTTTAAGATACGATTAGTTTTATTATATTATTTTCAATCGGGGTCTATTTGAAATGAATCAGCATCACTCACTAAAATACTTTTGGATACAATTTAATTAATTAGACCTATATTAGGTTATTACTTGTTTAAAATATTTTATTTGATGTATCAAATCAACTAGCCAACACTCCCTCGGTCCATGTAAGTTAGTATACTTTGAGACTAAAAAAAGGGAGGGAGGGAGGGAGGGAGGGATGAGCATGAAATAATGTATTGTATACCGCTAATTATGGTACTTGTTCATTTTATGCATGAAAATTTTTTATGGACCCATATACAATAATTTGAAATATAATCATAACTTGACCAAACTAATTAAGATACAAAGTCAACCGAATGTATTTGCATATATTCTAACAATTTCCTTGTCTTATAATCCTCATCACTTAAGTTCTTATTAGAAAATCTAATGATAAAATAATTGCTGGTATGAAAATCATAATAGTAAAAAGCAAAGAGAGTAGGAAAATAGAAGAAAACAATTGGAGTTGTGTAAAAAAAAATAATTGAGAATAATGATAGTGAATTGTAGCAAGAGGATTATAAATGTATTGAGAATGATACGTGTTAGAAAAATAATGAGTATTATAAATGTATTGATATATGGAGTATAATATATTAATATGTTAGATGGATCCATTATTAAATTTGCTCCTTTTTTTTTTCTTTTATTATTGAAATATCTTGTTACTAGAGCTTCACGTATCACATGGATCTCACTTAAGAGTTATTTTTCGTCTAAATTTAAGGTATTCAAAAAACTTTGTTGTTAATTATTACTTTTTCTTCATATAGCAACATTTGTAATACTCCACAATCCATAGTACATGTATTATTGTCAAAGTTATATCTCAATAAGCAAAAAATGTCGACTATTTAGAAACAAAAATAATACGGTAGTAATAATAATAATAATAATAATAATAGATCAAATCAAATTTCGAAATAATGAAACTCTACCTACTTGACAAAACGAGTTAGAGTTACTCCATGTGTGTTGGATGATCCTAACTATTTAATGAGATATTGAGATGTATTGAAAATTAGTTATTCAAGACTTGATTGGTTTTGCTCGTCTTTTATTATCATTGTTGGCAATCGAATATGAATGCCAGCCTATTTAATCGCATGAAATCTTTGAATTGAATGAATTTATGTTTGTGCTGAATAATGAATTGAATATACACGTACAAAGTTCAAAATATATTTTGACAAATATGTAGCCTATTAAATTACAATCAATAGCTTTGTTGACTTTATGGAAGTGAAATGATTTATTATTTCGATTGTCGGAAGGGAAGTTGGACTCAATATTGACCCCTTTTTTTTTTTATGAAGTAAAGCACATGTATACTTGTAAATTAAGATCTATTTGTATTTCGACCAATGCGATGTACGGGTTATATTGAAAAAGAAGGGGTTGAGATAATAAAATGATCGAAAGAGGAAAAAAATGAATTAGAAGGGAGAAACTAAAATAATTATAATTTACGTTTTGCATTACTCAATTACTTCATTTTTAGAATGTGAGAAATGAATAGCAACGATATATACATTTAACTCTTGAATTTGTGTTTATATTTTAGGTATATATTTGTTTATGAAAGTAATGATGCGGAGATTGAGTTATTTTATAAAGATAACTAAGTATAATAGAAAGAGACAAAAAAATCTCAAATTGAGCTTGCTTGAAAGTTAAAATTAGGGTTATAAATACATGATCAGAGATATCAAGATTGTGATTTATGAGTTTTGACCTTACTATATTTTGCTCCATAATTAATTATGATGTTCATAATGATCATAAATTCATAATGTTTAAAATATCATATTAATATTCCTTGAAACGATAGTTAATATTAACATATACCTTATGTTTTTTTACTGTATAACATAGAATAATTCGTAATATCAGCCATGTTACAATATCATATCGTCTATTAAACAAAGGAACAAAATTAATGTTACAATATAGCACAAAAAGTTTATAATTTTGATAGCAATGACACAAGCAATTTTGTGGTAAGGGGGAAGGAGGAGTTTTCACATAATCGTGAAATGTGGATAGTCTTGACTTCGGACATGTTGACATAGGTGGCATTGATAATGACAATAAGTGGGCCTCAATCAATTTTCATGTATTCTTTTGCGTACATTACAACTAGTCAAGGGCCCAATGGGGCCTGATAGAAACGGGCCTCAGCTCTCAAGTGTATCGTTTTTTGTCACTTTCATGTCTTTTCTTTCAATTTCTTTTTTTCCCTTTCTATTTTAGTTCTTTTAGAGGTAAGAAAAAGGGAGAGGAGACTCAAGAGGGGATGGGAGATACTTGTATTAGGAACCCTTCTCACGGAGAAAATTCTTAATACTACCTCTGTTACAGGTTATGTGCAACGATTAGACATTTTTCCCCTCTGCTTTATGTCAAATCGTTGCACATAACGTGTAACGGAGGTAGTATAAAAGATAGGGTGGAATACAAAGAGGAAGTACGAGAAATAACGTATGTCCATGTAGTCTTACTAATACAATAACCAATTAACATTTACAATTTAGATAACAGCTTAATTTGCTTCTTTATAAATGTGATTGGTATTTGGGTGTATCGATGATTATATGCTCGATTTTCCACGGGATAGTTAATGTATCTTTTGTCGAGTTCAGTTGTTTTATTACTTGTAAGTATTTGAACTGCTAATAAGAAATCATGAGAAAGTATACATAGTCTTTATGTTTATAGCGTAATTTATTTTATTTTATTTTACGGGATATAGCGATTCTAAGGCCTTGTATGGTTGGAGAAGGGGAAGGGGGGAATTAGAATTTAGAGGAAACTAAGCCACAAAGGTAACATGTAATTTTTTGAGTTCATTTTACAATTAGATTTTAAACAAAACTCTACGTTAAAGTTATGATGTGGTAAAAACCTCAAAGGTGTTACAAATTATAAATAGTATGTATACAATATATTCATATGACGTGATGAGAATCTCGAACCAAAAATGAATCGATATTTGTAAACTTATGTATAGAACGATCATGGATGAGATAAATATCATGCATGATTAGAAATTGTCTCGCATGAGTTGCATCTCTCATAGTTGTGTCAACTTGGATTGTATTTGGTGAGGTCAGATGGTATCGATTTTTTTTAAAAAAATTTAAGTCATGTTAATTTATTATTTTCATGCAAGTCAAAATCTAAATCTATTTTTTTAGGTTGATTTTGAATTGAGTCAATTTTTGACACGTCTAATGTCCCATGAATCGGCCACTAGCTACTAGCATTGATTAGGTTTGGTGACCATTATAATTTTGGAAGTGGGCCGGGGAAGAATCGCACCCCTTATTATTCCTTAATTTTCATGCATGTGCATTTGTCCCAACTCTCAAGTCTCAATTCAACACATCCTTCTATATACCAAATCTTTTTTTTTTCGTCCAAATTCTTTGGCTCCATTCTCTGTTAAATCAATTCGACAACAAATATGTATACTTTTTCCGTTCTTTTTTTATTGCACCATGAGGGATTTCACGCTTGCCAATGCATTTTTTAGCAATGAATATCTCTTCCATTATACTTTTGTAAAAATTATAAAAAATTGTTATTTGAAAAGAACATTCCGATACGAATCTAACTAGATCCCACATGACTATATTTTTCCGAATGGATAAATCACAAATGATGGTCAAAGAAGATTAAGTGAATAGTGTAAAAGTGCTAATGGTGCAATAAAATAAAAACTGAGAAAGTATTAAGTTAACATGACTCTCATACTTTGGATTTTTTCGGTGAAAAAGTTAGATTTATAAGTTTATAAGTTAGTCAAACATCCTCTTCTTCTAGGACAACTTAGCTCAATATAATTTAATTACTTATCAGTTATTATTTCAATGAAGAGAAATTGAACTTATAAACATGCAATTTAAAATTTGAAATGAGCTTGAACGAAGTTGAAACAATAATCAAGTCAAAGAAGTCAAACATAATTACACTTGGCAAATCACATTTGTATCATCAATAATTCCCATGATAGGAATTACAATTTACAAATACTTCTATATACCTCTCTTACTTTTAACAATATAGTGAACAATATAATACATGATGAGTTACCTATGTCATCTAGATTTAGTTACCACGCTAAAGCTAGTTTGACTAGCACTATCAGCGTAACAACTATTCCGGACATAAGATAGTTCACTTTCTAGTTTCAGACTAACTTAGCACAATCTACTCCGATCCTATATTCTTTGATTCTAAGTATTGAAGCATATAACCAAAATTAAAGATCAAAAGAACAAAAAGAGAGGGAAGATACATATATCATATATGTAATGGATTCAAAGTTTAGCTTCAAAAATCTCAGGACTAATATTCTTAGTATGATCTTTTCTAGTAACACGAATGTAACAAACAATGGCAGCAACAAAAGCGAAAGCGAATCCTCCAAGGATAACATCGCCACCCATAGGGATATCGTGGTGTCGACTAACCAACCTTATGTGTTGTACATCACCAATACTTGATACTGCCGGAGCTGAAGCTGGAACTTGAACGTGAAAAGCCGGTTTCGGGTTCGGTATTCTTTGTAATAGTTGCATCCTAGACACTGCCATGGAACTTGACATTTGAACCAAGATCATGAAAGATATAAGAACAATAAATCTTCCCATTTTACTAGCTAAAATTAGTAAGGATGGTATATGAATAATGTTGTTGGATTGTATGAAAAGTTCAAAGTTTTTTTTGGGAGTAATTAGATTGAGAGAGACTAAGTTAATAAGCTAAGGGTATGTATATAATATATATGTATGACTGTATGAGTATTTCCATAGGACGAGTTATGGCCCTAGATATTGTCTGAGGTGGTGATTTTATAAGTATTTAATAAGGTTGGTATAATGTTACTTTAATGTTCCCAAAGTGTTGGTTATAAAATAATTGAAAGCTGTAATAAGACATGACAATTCATTATTATATAGAAAATGACATCAAAACACCTTAATTAATAATTTTGGATTAGTGGTATTGTTCTTTTCGAAAATCAATACAATTACAAGTAATAACAAAGAATGACGGTACATGTGGTTTTGTTATAAGTTCTCTGTTTGATTATTATTAGTACTATTTTAATTAATAATGTTTATATATAATGATTTGGACCATGTTAAAAGAAATCATACGAAGTATTGTTGTTATTATTAGCTATATTATTATTAGAGCATCTTGTTAATTACAACGTTAGATACCTTGATGTAAATTATGGAAAAGTTAACGTTGAAGGGAAGAGCAAGATGGGGAGATGAGATCCTGTTTCCTAAATAATTTGTCAACTTGCTTAACTTAGATTTGAATCAGACATTTTGGTCTTCAAATATATGGACATGAAAGTAATATTGAACGAGTGAATGTTTTTGACAAATGTCAGTGATATCATAAAATAAATAGTTTATGTAACATAATAATAACACTGTTGTATAGGAGAGTATGTAGTAGAGCATTATTGATGTTGGACATTGTATGTAGAGAGGTTGAGTTCCTCACCAATAGAAAGAATACAAATTAAACTCATCACGCGCCACGTGTACAAAATTACAAATGTAACTTGCGCGTATCAAAGTAATTTGATCTGAACAACTCATTTGTCACTTAAATAACTTGTTGGCTTGTAGTTACTTTCTCTTAAAGTATAAACTTAATTGACAATTATTATAAAAACATATAATCACGATTTTATATTAAATAATCAAACTATAATAGGATTGTAGGAGGGTGCATATGTAGTAGAGGAGCATGTAATATTAAGTATATCTTAATCAATCCATGCAATGTCAATAGAGGAATAGTCAAGGTTAAATTCCACAGTCCACACCAGTACGTGGTAAGAATACAAACTTATTATACAAATATGATCTGATTACAATTCATTCAATCCAAACGACTTATTTGTCACTTAGCTCGACTCGCATGTAGCTACTCTTCTTTACTTAATGTAATGTAAGACTAGACAATAATGGAGGTCAAAATTCAAGAAGACTCCAATAAATTAGTGAGCCCAAGAAAGTAGTTGCCGTAAACATGCAATGAAATAATCAAGTTTCTGCGCCAGAAAATTGGATGAATGGTGGTAGATGCATCAAATAAGATTCTCTTAAATTTGTAACGCGGTAAAGAATGCATCAAATTTTGCCAACTGTATTCTTGGAGTTTGCTAACCACTACTATAAGTACTATACTTATACGAGTAATATAAAGCTGGATATTATAAATAATGTGTACTTTTCTTATAAATATCTTTTAATTTATAAGTAAGCTCTTAGCTGTTGCTACTTACTATAAGAGTTGTAACTAGCAGTCTAGCACAATTTGGTTTTCTGTAGTTGTTTACAAGAATTACAACTGTATGTAAATTTCAAAATCTCAGCTGGTCAATTTTACGTCGGGAATATTATTATATTAATTGAGGGATTTTCGATATGATATCAATATTGTGTCTATTATTTATAGAAAATGAGTTAAGGAATTGAGAGTTGTTGCGAATACAGTAAATCAGTAACACGTCACATACTCCCTTTCATAATTTGTATGAATAAGACGTTAGAGTGTTTCAATTGATCACTCATATTCATGGCTAACAATTTTACTAAATTGATTTCCTAAAAAAAAATAAAATTGCCTTTTACTTCATAAAACACTCTCATACTGCTTTTTATTATTATTATTATTGACAAATGTGACCTTGTTAGCTTTCTCCCAAAGACTATGCCTAATAATGAAGTTTTAATACATGGGGAACACAATTTATGTACGAGGAACAACCTTTAAAAAAAAAAATCATGGGACCAAATTTTCTTTAATTAAAATTAAGTCATTATTAATTTTGTAATGTTCATTTGTCAAAAAAAATAAAAATTAAAAAATTGTATTGTTCAACTCTCCTTAATTTCTGTAAAAAAAAATAAATAAATAAAAATACACAATTGGGACAAAAAGGAAGTTCGACAAAGTAATAGGTATGCATCAATCATTTATCAATTGGTGCAACAAATTGGTAAAATATTTTGCATAAGTGTGCAATACCGCAACATGATGCTTATAAATGCACATACGATTCAATAATGAAACATCTCATATTCATTCATTAAATTAAAGACCATTATACTTTAGAATTCGCAACATATAATAAAAGAACATGGATGAATGAAATAAAAAACCAACATGATGCATGTATGTATATAATGAACATAAAGAACATTATTCAAAACTCAAAAGCATAATGCACCGCCCTCATGTATAATAGTATAATCTACAAATTGAATAATAGTTCTAGCTAAAAATTAAATATGATAGAAGTCACATTACATGTTGGTACAATTCTTAACAATAAGCATACTATAAACTTATAATGTAAAATTATACGTACGGATATTCAAGTAAGAACGTATACCACAATTTATTGTTGCAATTATTCAAGGAATTGTCAAAAGTAAGTACATTTAATTACTATGATGTAAATAATAGATTTTCTTTTCAGAATAAAATAAAATCATTGAACAACACAATATAATGCATGCTTTTACTATTTTCTTCTCCCACCCTCACAAATATAAACCTTTTTGACCACATTATGTATGAAAATAAAAATATATAGCTCTTGATGATTATTAAGTATGAAACTATATTATAAAAAATCATTTAATTCATCAATTAATCCATGGTTTTATTTCTTCATATGCTGCTAATTACACTCATTATCATTTCTTCGGTCTCTTCAACGTCGTTCATACCCTAGGAATGTAGCGTAGAACAAAGTTAATTAAGCTATATTAACAAAGAAACATGCTTAAAAATGACTTGATTTAAATTAAATTGAACTGATTTAATATTTCTAACCTCTAAACAAGAACTAATAACCGCGGCTCCATTAGAGGTGGTAAGATTTGTGTCATTAAACTCTAACCCTAATCGAGTTATGGCATCGACTAATTTCGTAAATACTCCCATTTTCTTCTCGTACACAACTTTTATCCATACTTTGTTATCGTCAATGGGATTCACCTTCACTTCGGGCTGTCACAAAAAAAAAAAAAAAGTTAATTAGAAAGTACTTAATTAATTATTATGTACATTTGTACGTACTTAATTAATTAAGTATGCAAACAAACCTCAATTCCATAATTCTTCATGTCTTTTTTTGCTGCAAATTTATTTTCGTCTTTGATAGATGATTTAATCTCCTCTCTAGGAGGATAACGAGTTTCGAGTTCAAGAAGCTCGTCCTTAAGCTCGCTTACTTGGCTATCAAGCTCTTCAATGTAAGTAATCGCGTCCTTAATGATATATGCTTTGGTCATCTAATTAAATTAACCAAAAAATGAAAGTAATAAATAAATTAAATCTTATTTGATTAAGAAAAGACGAGTTAATAAGTATTAGAAATAAAAAAGGCATAATTTGTGAGAGTCATAAGAAGTAGATGCTTGCATTAGTGATAATAGGGACTAATGCTCGTAGTTGAAGAAGGCGGTCATTAAGCTTGGCACGCCGTCTTCTCTCAGCGTCTAAGTTCTTGGATTTGAATTTAGAATCATCATTGTTGTTGTTATCGTTATCGTTGTCCTTATCAACATCAGAAGAAGCATATGAAAACTCCATGTCAAATTTGATAGAAGGGATAGATGGTTTTAATTTTTGAAGAGGGTTTAATAAATTACCTAAGTTACAATAATAATAGGTATGTGTATATATATAGGTAGTTAATTAATTTGGAGGGAATCTTTATTGTTAGAGGTTGTTAAGTACTTGTTGGATGGTAAAAGGCGCAATTTGGCATGATGAGTGAGAGAAGAAAGAGAGATAAAAACTTCATCATATGTACTTTCCTAACAGAATCAAAGCACCTGAGTTAGAAATTAACAGCTTTTTGACATGTAAATAGTACAGCTTAAGATCTTTTGGCCTTAATTTTATTACTTATGTTTAAGGTGCAATAAACAATGTAATGTGTGATACGTAGGTAACATTACAAAGATAAATTGTGCCGTTTCTTTTAAATAAAACTAAACAGTGTTTGATAAACAATTTGCTCCATTACATAGACGGAATTTGATTCGAACTAAATATGGTATTATAAGTCTAATTACTAGAGATTTGTATATTCGTCCAAAATGTCTCATTGAACTGTAATATGGAGGGGTGAGGCCGTGGGGGTGATCAGGATCGAATTTCAGCCCAGTCACACTAGGGGGAGATATAAAGACTAACCATCGCTCCACTCCTTGATCCTCCCAACTATTTAAGTTATCGAGAATATGTGATGTTTTTTGGTTCATGAACTGATGGATATTTTGTTAAAGATTTTCTGTTTCTTAGCTTGCACATGCCACTAACCATATCGATCATAACCGTTGCAAATAACACAAAATTGCAGTCAAAGAAAAACTTTGAAAAATAATGTTATTGTATACACTTTATACATAATTTAAGTACAACAATCACTAGTACAAAACATACATAGAAATATTCAGTGAATCAATAATTAGTACACTGTACAAATTGGATGTCATTTATTTAGTACACCTGCAACCAGCCAGCCAGTAGCGAAATTAGTTGTTAATTTGTTATTAGTGCAGTGTTGGTTGCTGTCTACTAGATTTTGTCAGCCAGCCAGTAGCTTGGTTGCTGTCTACTAGAGATAATCAACATCCGTCTGGTCCACTAGCCCGGCCCAATTCAGTCTAAAAATATAATTGGTATACACTAGACCCTAGTGTAGGTAGCCCAACCTACACTCCCTCTAAACGCAGCGTTTAGAGTTACTACCCACACCCCTCCACTAACCCACAATAATTACCCACTCCCCACAATAACCGCAGTAACTGCATAACTAAAAAAAAATCAATTTCAAATCATTCTCTCTCTCTCTAAACACCATCTTCTTCATTTCTCTAGAGTTTCTCTCTCATCAAACCCAACAAATCACAACAAAATCATACTCCAAAATTGCTTCAAATGTCTGATATTCGAGAAAAATTAAACAATCACAACAAAAAGAGTAAGTAATTTCGTTAGTTTTGTTCATTTTTTGAGATTGTAGTGCAATTTTATGTGTGAAACCTTAATTTTGTTCATTTTGTTGCGATTGTAGTGCGATTTTGCAAAAAACCACTACAGAGAAGAACATGCAAGAAGAAACTGCAAAATCGGAGCAAAATGTATCTAAAGAGTAAGTAATTTTGTTCATTTTCTTTCGATGACAATTATAGTGCGATTTTATGTGTGAAACCTAATTTTTGTTCAATTTTTTGCAATTGTAGTATGATTTTGGAGAAGAATACTTCAGAGACGAGTAATTTGTTGAAAATTTCTGAAGAAATGTGTGAACCCTAACTTTTGTAAAACCTAATTTGTTCATATTCTTGCGATGAAAATTATAGAGCGAATTTATTTGTCAAACCTAATTTTTGTTAAAATTTTTTGCGATTGTAGTAATTGTTCTAAGATTTTACTGAAAATAACTAAAACATTAACAATTTATTAAATAAAACAGAGACGATGATGATGATGTACCTCTTCAGTCAAGAGTAGACAAATTGAAAAAAAACCGCCAAAATGATCCAATTATAGATCCGGAACTTTTAAAAGATATGACAAGTCAATTGGTACGGATTTAACAATGTCTCCACTACCAAGGTAATTAGTCATTTACAGAATATATTATGTTCATGTCTAATATGCTAGTTGTATTTGATAAAAATTGGTTTTATCTTTGTTTAATATGTTATTTGTATATGATCATATTTGATACTCATAATGTTCATTTATAGATATAGTTATGATCATATATTTATATTTGTTCATATGAGTATTTATTGAGATTTAAGAACAAAAGTACATTTCATTGAAACATCATTGTATATGATCATATTTGATACTCATAATGTTCATTTATAGATATAATTATGATCATATATGTATATTTGTTCATTTGAGTATTCATTGAGATTTAAATAACAAATATACATTTCATTAAATCATCATGCACATATATAAATATGATAATAATCATTTCAGTGTATGCATTCAAACTAATGTCATGTAATTAATTTATAATGTAGTGATGTGCCATTTAGAGTGATACACTTGCTTCAATTTAGAGATGGGAAATCTGAACCATTAACTCTAAAGAAGGTTATAGAACAAAATGAATATGGTAATAGTTATGAAAGATACACTTTAAACAAGTAAGTTTATATGTATAAAATAATTGTTTTTACATTCAATTAGTGTACATTGTATATATATACCAAACTTATTAGGTAATTCTTAAAATTTTAGTGAAAAAAAAAGGTTCGAGTGAAATTTGTTATGTCAAAATCAAGACCACCAGAGACAAATCAAACAATAAGGTATAAAAGCTTTATACCAAAATAACTAATTATCTTCTTCATTGTATAAATTAGTTCATACTTTAATATCATGTTATATAAAATAATTCTGTTTTTTTTAAGTGAACAAAGTGAGAACATTCCTGCTACTAATGCAACAACTAAGAGTGTGTCTGCTACACATAACACAACTGACAAAGAGAGTAGGGATGAAAGGTATACTAATGATCAATTTTATATAAACAAATGTTCATTTTTATAACAGTATATTTTGTGTACAATTTATGTGCATTTTTTATTTAAAGTATTTCTTAATATTGATTTCAGCAAGCAAAAAGAAGTTCAACCAAAAGTGCAAAGCAATCCAGTAAAGAATAGTCTTGGCCAAAAGTAAGAAAACTTAAATGTTCAATTTAGATAGACTATATGTTCATTTGAAAATCAGTACAAAAAAGTTTGCTCATGGCCAATAGTAATATAAGTTATATGTTCATTTTTTTATTTACTAATCAAAATTGTAAATTCAAACATATTTTTAATGAAATATCAGAAAACCCAAAGATGATGCAAGAATAACAACATTAAAGGACAAGATGCAAGAAATACATTTAGACATAGAGAGAAACCCAAAGTATGTTTAAATTTAAATAATTGAATTAATTTAATAAATTAATGAATATATTTCAAAGTTATATAACAATATCATACATTTACAGGAAGTACAAAGAATCGACAATCCGAATTATGAGAAATCTCAAAAGAATGGAAAAGGCAAGCAAGGAAATCAGGAAAGGTAAATGATCATATTTATTGAATATTTTTGTTTAATAGTCATAAATATCAATTTTAACAATACTATTACTTTTGAAGGTGAAGCAAAAAAGAAAGAAAAAGGGCCAATAGAAGAGAAAACTGTGGAAAAAGGTAAAAATTTTAAAATGTACATTTTTATTACAAAAAATGTTCATATTGGAAAAGCATAATATTAAATATTCAATAAGATTAAAAAAATTAAATTTTAACTAAATAAATTTTAATAGAAGGACAAGAAGGAAAAAAAGGGACTGAAAAAGAGAAAAGCCCTAAAGACAAAACTGTGGAAGATGTCTTTCCAAAGACAACAAATGTAGAAGGTAAAAATTTATAAATGTACATTTTTATTACATAAAATGTTCATATTGGATCTACATAATATTGAATGTTCAATAAGATTAAAAAAATATATAAATATTAACTAATTAAATTTTCACAGAAGGACAAGAGGGAAAAAAAAGAGCCTGAAAAGGAGAAAATCCCTAAAGAGAAAACAGTGGAAGATGAGTCTACAAAGACAACAGATCCAAAAGGTAAATAGTGGAAAATGTACATATTCATTATCTGAAATGTTCATTTATATTGTATATAGTAAACATTTGTCATCCAATTTAAATAAATGTTTATTTAATCTTTTATATTTGATCATTTCATATGCAGCACAAATTGCACCTGATTTTGTTCAAATTGAGGATGAAACTTATCTTCTAGATCAAGATGATGATAAAGTTTCCACAAAACTTAGTGAGGAGACAGCTCCATCATCACAAAAAAGTGATCAGTCAACCAAAATGAAAACAAGATACAAAATGGTTGCAAGGAAAAACAAAAACAAAAGCCTTGTTGTTGTGCCAAGTGGTAGAATTACAAGGAGCCAAGGTAATCATAATACTTTTCTGTTTCACAATAAATATTACACTTTCAAATATACTAACATAAATTTTTTTAAAAACAATAGATGTTTTGTTAGATGAATCTGAAAAGGGAAGCCTGAAGAAGGATGTTGAACCTGCTAAAGAAACCGCAAAAATAGGACAGAAGAGAAGAATGTCTACAAGGACTTTTCCTATTCAAAAGGAAGCTGATGCACCACCTCCAGCACCTACTCCAATAAAAAAATGGCAGGTGCTCCTACTGAATATCCTCCAGACCAAGGCAAAAAGGGTAAATGTTCAATCTTAATGTATAGAATGATCATTTATGATGGTATATCATTAATGTTCAATTTCAATATATAGGTGGGAAAAAGAAAACTCCAGAAGAAGTGAAGAAAACTTCTAAGGTTGCTGGCAAAAGAAAAGCAGGTATATAATGATATATTATAAATGTTCAATTTCTATATATAGAATGATCATTTGAGAAAACAATTTTGTTCATTTTATCATTTGCTTATTGTACATTTTCAATACTTAAACAAAATTATATATTTAATTTTCAGATGTCAGTCCTGCCAAGAGAAATGCTGGAAAGAGAAAAAAAAATACAAGAAGTACCATCAGATGAACCCTCTCAAGATCCTACTGATGAAAGTTCTACTGTCAGTGATGATGATAGTGAAGAGTTTGTTTATAGAGCAGAAGCAGAGCCTGTCAGTGAGGATGATTATGAGGTGGAGGAAGAGGAAGAAGTAAAGCCAAGGAAGAAACAGGCAAAGAAAGGGAATTCAGTGAAGGCAAAGGTTGAAAAGGAGGAGCAAAAGATGGTACTGTATGATGAAGGAAAGATTGAAGGTAGGGGAAAAAAGAAAATGAAAACTGAAATGGTTCAAGCAATAGAAACTGATGAAGTTGAGGAAATTCAGGAAGATGAATTTGAGGAAGAGAAATCTTCAAAGAGAGGAGGACATGTGAAGTTCATTGCATGGATAAAAAAGATGACACCTACCCAAAAACAACAAGTTGTTGATATAGGGTTAGGATCACTTCTTGACATTAGTTTACCTCAACTTGATCAAAAGTTTTGTAATTGGTTATTGGGAAGTTTTGAAGATAATAGCCAGTGTTTTGAACTACCAAAGAATGAAAAAATAGAAATTGAGGTAGAGGATGTTAGGGTAGTTTATGGCTTGCCTACAGGAGAAATTCCAATTGTTGAGCCAAAGTCTGATAAAATTAGTGAGGAGTATGCAGAATTTCTGAAGAAATGGAGAAAATCATGGTCAGGAAAAACTCCATCAGTGAGTCAGGTATGATCAGTTTTAAATGTTCATTTTAAATACATTAAATGATAAAAAGTATAAATGTTTTGTTCATTTTGTTTGCAGATTGTGAATGGATACATAAATGATAAATTCACCAACAACAGACCACCAAGTGAACATTTCATTACTAACTTTTTAGCAGTGGCTGTGAACTGCTTGATGAAATGTGTATCAAACAATCAATGCCATTTCAAATTTCTTTATTCTATGATGGACAAAGAAAACATAAAAAATTTGAACTGGTGTCAGTTTGTATATGACTCACTTATCAAATGTCATGTTGATTGGAGAAAGCAGCAAGGCAAGGGGTTCTACAAAGGCCCTCTTCAATTTCTGATGGTATATTCTTAGATACAAAATGTTCATTTAAATTTAAATAAATGCACTTTTTTTTATTGTTTATGTTCTGTTCCATGTTTTCTTTTTTCTTGTAGTTGTTCTATTTTGATAGAGTTCAGAGGTTAGACAAAAGGCCTCCAAGAACAATTCCTATCATATCTGCATGGAATAGAGACATGGTTCTTGAGAGGTTGAAGATTGAATTAGAATTGGGATTTGGGAGAGGGAAAATTCTACCAAGGATTGCTGCAGAAGTTGAAGAAAGTCCTAAGGTTATAAAATGATCACTTTTGTTAACATAAATGTTCATTTGTATAATCTGAAATGTTCAACTGCATAATTTTTAATATTCATTCATATAGGTTTTTATGGATGATTTTGTTTCCCTGGTAAAAACAACTTGTTCAAACCTGTCAAAGCTTTCTTCAAAATTGGTGAAGGCAAAGGATATCTTCCCTGGAAATGACTTGGTGAAAAAAGTTGATGAAGTTTTAGGAAAGGTGGCAGCTAGGGAACCATCAATTCTAAGCCAAGATGAAGAATTCTTTGGCAGTGAGGATTTCCTAAATGCACTTGCACAAGCTGAGAAGAATCTGATGCAAGGGTCTAAAAAGCAAACAACTGAGAAGCAAATGACTGGGAAGAAATTAACCAAAAAGGGAAAGGAAAAAGAACAAGAATATGACATCAGAAAAGCTTTCAGCTTGGGGTTGACTCCACCTTCTCCAGCCATTGGTAAATTCTAACTAAAAGAGACTATATATCCTAATTTTTATATGAAAAATTCTAAATTTGTGGTCTAAATTGTCCTAAACAGAAACAGGGCCCACCTCTTCAACACTTGGTGATATAATTGAACAACCAATAATTTCAACAAATGGTAATATGTTCATATATTTAATAATAATGTACATAAACTTAAGTAGAAATGTTCATTTCTAATTATTATGTGTAAATACTATTAACTTAGTGTATCTCCAAAATGATGATTTATAATACAGCTGGAGAAAAGGATGTGGGTAAAACTTCAGCAGCTTCAGAACAAAGAATTGAAGAATTTTCTAGAACTGGTATAATGTTCAATTAAAAAGTGTAAAATGTTCATTTACAAACAAGAAATATTCATTATTAATTGTATTTTTTTGTTAGACGCAACAACTGGTTCAAAATTTGATGCTGACACTAGGTCAGATAATGAAGGATTGCCTAGAACAGGTATAATGTTCAATTATAAATACTCAAATGTTCATTTACAAAGAAATTATATTATATCTAATTAAATTTTTTCTTAGATGCAGGATCTTGTTCAGTGGTTGATGCTGACCCTAGGTCAGATGGTGGTGAAAAAAGTGATGATCCAAAAAACACAGTTGGAGGTGGAAAACAAAACAAGGAAGATGTTTTTGAAAAAAAACAAAAAATGATGAAAAAGTGGAGGGGTAAAATCCTGAAGACATGTCTTACTATTAGGGTTATGTAATTAGTAAGGATAAAATATCTAGAGGGAACAATTTAACTTATGTTACTATCGTGTTGTAACTTGAAACTGGAGTTTCTCAAACTATTGTATGTGTGTACATTATTTTGTTGAATATGTAATATGAATGTGTGGTTTATGTTAAATCGATATCTTTCATTTTATGAATTGAAAATGATTCAAGGTGTTACATAAGAAGCTTATATTTTATTAATATGTACTGACATTGTTTGACTTTTCAGTGAAAACAAGAAGATTGTTGCTTCATCCTCAAAAGTCACAAAAAGGTACATTATTTATATTAAGTAAATGTTCAAAAATAATAATGAACATTTTCATATACCTAAATGTACATTTGTGTTATGTAATATGACCAGGAATGATGATAAGAAAAAGTCAATTGCAGAAAAGAAGAAAAAAACTGAAAAGGAAAAGGTTGAAAGGTATAATTTCAAATTTATTTATATACACTCAAATGTTCATTTATGTTCCTCATAATTTTCTTAATTTAACAATATTTTATATTGAACAACAAGACCAAAACGCGAAAAGCAAACAATTCCTCCTGCTTTCCGATCTCCTTACTTGGTGAAGTACAAGGATCTGTTTAAAGATGAGAAAGCCATGAACCAAATTGCAGTAGACTTTGCTCTTGGTGGAAAAGATGAAAGGTAATTACTTACGCTAATTAAACTTAAGGTTTAATATCTTTTATAAAAATATGTTCACATTCATATTATTAAATGTTCATAATGCAGTGCACTCTTATACTATGATGGCTTGAATCTCATCAATAGAAATGAAATGAAAACTCTTGGAGATGATGTTGAAGTGACAAATTGTGTCATAGATGGATGGGCAAGGTTTCTTAATCATAAAAAGCCGAGAAACAAGATTTATTTCTCAACAGTGCTTCATGTTAGTCTTTCTTCTTTTTTTATATTATTGATTCTATTTTCCTATGATAAATAATTGCTAAAAATTCATTTAACTTCTATATGTTTGTTTCTATTTCAACATCACATTATGTGCACAAATAGAGTTTGTCGAGAAGGATCATCAATGAAGACAAGAATTAATGCCTTCATAGAAAGAATTGACAATGAACTGAAGTTGAATAAAATTGACAGCATTGTTGGATATAAACAGGTATTAATTCTTGTTTAATACAAATGTTCAATTACATTCAATATATTGTCCAATAACATTATATAATTTGTTCAGGTCTTCTTCCCAGTATCAACTTCTCAACATTTTTTTCTGTTGTGCGTCAATCATATAGAAGACAAAATTCATATAATTGACAATAGAAAACTACCAAAAAAGGTATCAGTCCAAGCAAAATATGAAGAACAACCAAAAATGATGGTGAGATAATATGTTCATTTATAGTTGGCTACATGATCAATTATATTTTATTAATTGTTCATGTCTTCATCACAATACAAACTTCTAAACAATTTTTACTCTTTTTTCTATCAGTTAAAAGGATTGGCAGAGTACATGAAACACCTTGGATATCAAGATGCAAAAAGAATTGAAGACTACACAGTTGTTTTGGAAAAGATGAAATGGCGTAGCAACAATGACTATACAAACTGTGGAGTTTACATTATGAAGCATATGGAAACCTTCACTGCTGATCCTAATGAGAGCTGGATTTGTGATTTAAAACCAAACAATGTAAGAGTTATAAATGATCAATTATTTAAGATATAATATTCATTTATGAAACAGTAAAGATTGTTTAATTAAAATTTGACAATTCATTTTGTTCAACAGGTGGAACAAATTAGAAATCTAAGGCTCCAATACACAGCAGAACTGATGTTATTTGAAGAAAACACTGAATCAAGAGCAAATAGAAGGAAAGCTAGAAAATTTGCAACTTTGTAGTTTCAAATGTTCATTTACAACTATGTATATGTTCATTTCTTATATATGACTATTTTTTTTTTTAAGAAATAGACTTATGGATTTTATTTTAATATTATTGTAATTGATATTTCATTTTAATCTTTGAATGAAAGTTTTTTATATTTTATTTTAATATTATTGTAATTGATATTTCATTTTAATCTTAAAAAAAGTTTTTTATAAGTTTTATAAATTGGATGTTGGTTCTTACTTTTGTTCATATACAAATGACTAAATAATCATTGATAAATGTAGAATTTTAAAACATATAAAATTCTAATGACTAAATAATTTCAACCTCTTTAACAATTTCACTTTGCCTTGTTACACTGCTTCTCCAAGGTACTCTTAGGCCTTACATTCCTCTCACCTTTAGGCCTAGCTTTTGGAAGATTCTTGATCTCAAGATCAACAATTTCAACCTCTTTAACAATTTCACTAAAGTCAATTACACCTGATACACTCTCAACCTTTTCTTTTAACAGATTGAAATAACACTCAACCTCTGCCCTTGCATTCAAAGAATTCTGACAACTTGTTATCAACTTAACAAACTTTCTGATTGTTTGTGACCTCCAAACACTAGTAGCCACAACATTTGTCCTCAAAGTAGGTTCTTCAATACCATGACTACACATGGCAGCCTTTGTCCATCGTTTCATTATATACTCTTGTGGAATATTACGCACACAATGCAAATGATATGCTCGAAGAGAATGAGAACAAAGTAAACCAGTCTCACTAAAGTGCATGCATGTGCAACAAATTGCATGTGTTTCCTTATTAAAAACAACTTCATGCTTAATTATATCCTTCCCAGGCCTCCAAAGAAGATATGAATATTCTGGAAAACGCAAACCATTATCAACATGATCATAAGCTGTCCCCCTAATGAACTCCTCTTCAAAAAGCACATAAGCTTGAATAGTGTACAATGATCTTGCATGAACTAATATACCAATATTAGCAAAAGCTAGGTGCCTATTACCCCTCAGAGTATTGTAATCTCTTGCACCTTCCTTACTTCTCCACTCAGAAATGACATCAAGAAAAACATGATAAAAATCACATAAACCTTGAGTCTTATTAAGACGTTGTGAAACTGACTTATTAGTAGTTTCACTACGTTGAGAAGACAATATACCACCATACCAATACTTCTTAGAATAAGCAGGACACCACATTTCCTTTATTTTATACAAATCACATAACCAATCATCATTTTCACATTTGTATTTATCACACATCCTGTATAACAGAAATGATCATATATTAATTTAAAAATGAACAAAATATAAATTAAAATATGTACATTTGTATAAAGAATAATGATCATAAACAATATGGACACTAATAATATTATGATAACATACATAACAAAGTAAATTGTATGATCATATGTAAAACACTAAATGTTCATATATATATCACATAATAATCAAATATATCACATAATAAAAATAAAAAATAAATACAAAAAACAATAATTTACCTTTTCCAGAAATATTCAAATTCAGCAGGAGTTTCACAATACTTCAAAAGATATCCAAACAAATCTGTAAAGCCTTCCAAAGCTCTCAATGCTCCAATGTGTTTCTTAGAATTTTGTTCAAGATGCCATACACATAAACGATGATGAACAGTTGAAGGAAAAATGTTTCTTATACCCGCTGCAATCGCTTGTGCTTGATCAGTCATAATTGTAATGGGACTTTTCCTCCCCATTGAGTGCAAAAATGTATCAAACAACCAATCAAAAGACTCGGTGCGCTCATTAAGAATAAAACCCATACCAAACATGACATTGTTACCATGATGGTTCATCCCAACAAATGGAGCACATATCATTCCATATTTATTAGTTCTATAAGTTGTATCAAAAACCAACAAATCTCCAAAGTAATGATAATCTCTCATCATCCTACCATCACGCCAAAAAAAACTAACTAAAGCACCACTATCATCTTGTTCAAAATCATAATAAAAATCTGCCTCATCCACATGTCTCTTGGCAAAATATTTAATCAATTGGTTACTATCACATCCTTCAATTTGGGCAGCTTTTTCAGATGACAATGCATTATAAGCATCAGAAGCAGTAAAACAAAGATTAGGAGATCCCCAACCTCCTTCTTTAGAACCCTCAAAGAATCAGTAACTTTGACTCCACTCAATTTCATTGTTGAAATGAAAAGAAGCTGCTCTTTATTCACATCTCTTTGAGACCTTATCAAATGCCTTTTTTCAGGAGGAATCATAGCATGATTATGAACCATTTCATGTCTTGTACATGTATAGACCCCTAAATGATCAATATGAAACTGCACAAAAGCTAAACAACCAGTTCGATGATCCAACTTCTCATAAATCCTTTTATTCTTACACTTATTATCTTTGAATCCCTCATTACAACAAACAAATCTTTTCATAAAAAAAGAATCATCTCTTCTTCTCTTACTCTTCCCAATTCGAATTCCAAAACCTTTCAAAAGCATATTCATTATACGCTTCGAAAGCTTCATCTTCAGATTTAAATTCTTTATCCTTTAATTCAGACTGTTCTGCTTCTAAATACATAATATCATCATTTTTTTCCACTGCACAATATACAATCATAAATGATCATAAAGAGTTTCATGAATGAACAATAACAAATAAGTAAAATGTTCAATATCAAAACAGCACATGATCAATTGCAAAAAGAATTTCAGCACATAATATTTTGAACAATATTTTCATTATTTACCACTACACATAATATCGATATAAAAATGTAAAAATAAATGATCAAAAATGACTTTAAGACTGAACATAAACACATTAGTAAGTATGAATAAGAAAACATAAACGATTAATTGAAAGTATAATCTATAAAATATACGACAAAAACACACAATTCTAAAACACAGAGAAAACAACAAATGAAACAACAAATGAAGCAACAAAATGTTCATACAAAGTATAACAATCCAAAAACGTTCATCATAATGTAATCAAAGTAGTAAATTCAAAAATCGAAAGTGAATAATAATACATCAATTAAGTTCAAATTAACAGAGCATTATAACAGAACAAATTAGAGATAATTAAAAATTGCAAAATTATGATCACAATTACTCACATTGTTGCACAAACGAATCAACCAAACGAACTCCAGAAGGAAACACACGCTCGCAATCACGATCAAAATCAACGCAATCTCCAGATGCAGAATTCGCCATTGATGATCGGTAACAATTAACGAGTTCGTTCAAAAAATCAAATGAAGAAGATGAATTAGCGAGAGAAAAATGTAGATCAAAAATGGAGGTTGATCAATTGAAGAGAGAGAAAAAATAGGGTTTAAAATCATATATATACATAAATTGAATAATAAGAAACAAAGAAAAAAGGAAAAAAGAGGAAGAAAAGAAAAAAAGAAAAAAAGGAAAAAAAAAAAAAAAGGAAAGAATCGCAAAAGGAAAGAAGCTGCACATGAGAACTCAATACCAACTACAAAACGACGTAGCATAGGGGGGGTGTAGGGAACACACCCTACACTAGGGTGTAGGGTAAAATTTTCACTAAAAATAGGGTGGATTTGAGCTCATTTCTAATTAAAAACCCAATCTCGGCCTGAAAAAAGTCCAAAAAGCATGCTACTTTTTTATCGGTTTGCGCAGGAGAAATTGTGTAAAGGCCTAACCCGATCCGATTTTTTTTTATCTAATACGAGATTACGAGTCATGTATTTACCAAGTAAGGCTTGGTGTACTCGCCCATTCCACAATGATTCTAAAGCCCTACACCCCAACCCAAATAATGAAATAATTAGTCCAAATAGACTTGGACCCCAAGCCCATTTTTCCATAACTAGTTTTCATTTTTTTTTTTGAAAAAAATTTCAATATAAATAAATTGTACAGCTTAGCTTATATCTAAACATGACAAATTAACCTATACTCAATTATCCGTCACAAAATATCCGACTTCAAATCCAAATTATACCCAAAATCACATGATACGATATAGACTTATTGATAATAGAATCAAAATTGGTCCAACTCTAATTTGAAACCAGCTTAAACAAGTCTTTTCTGAAAATGACTCAACCCAAATTGACTCGATATGAATTCGATTTGAATGGTTTGAATGTCACCTCTCTAATGATAGGTGAAAATTAAAATACCAAGTAATTGGTACGAGTAGTTTAGGTTAAGTCAACTTCAGTTGGGGTCAAAAATATTGGATCAAGGGATTTTGTTTACCAGACTACGAGTACATTTCCTTGGATTCGTATTCAGATTGGATATAATTTTAAAAATGAATAGTCGGGTCAATTTTGCCGGGTAAAGTTATTAATGTATTATGGCGCCTAAATTAGACTAGTGTATACAGTAACAAATTCCTGCTTGGCTATGCTATCACTTTTTTCATCACGCCATTTCCAATGTCTTCAATCTCTCTCCTCCTTCGCCGAGCATTTTCTTCATCTTCGGCCATATCTTCTGTAACCAAAATTTCTAAGGTCGTTTACAAAGAAGCTGATGTCAAAAAGGTTGCAGAAGCCTTCAAAAAACACACCCAGAATTCCAGTTTTCGTAAAAAAACCAACTTTTATGAACACACTGTTCAACGATTAGCCAATACCAAGAGCTTCAGTTTGATCGAAGAGATACTTGAAGATCAAAAGCAGTACAAAGATATTACTGATGAAGGGTTTACTGTTCGTTTAATTACTTTATATGGGAAATCAGGCATGTTTGATCATGCCCATAAACTGTTCGACGAAATGCCTGAACTAAGTTGTAAAAGAACTGTGTTATCCTACAATGCCCTCTTGGGGGCTTGTGTTAATTCGAAGAAATTTGATAAGGTTGATGGGTTTTTCCGTGAATTACCTGGGAAGTTGTCAATTAAGCCTGATGTTGTGTCTTATAATACTGTGATCAAGGCTTTTTGTGAGATGGGTTCTTTGGATTCCGCTCTTTTGTTGCTCGATGAAATGGAAAAAGAGGGATTAAGGCCTGATTTGATCACTTTTAATATCTTGCTTGATGCAGTCTACAGGAAATTAAGGTTCTTGGAGGGTGAGAAACTGTGGAGTATGATGGATAAGTATAATGTAGTTCCTGATATCATAAGTTATAATTCGAGATTACGAGGATTGGTGTTAGAAGAAAAGATGCAGGATGCAGTGGACTTTGTTCAGGAAATGTTGTCCAAGGGTTTGAAGCTTGATGTTTACACTTATAATATTTTGTTCAGTGGCTTCTGCAAGGATGGGAAGTATTTAGAGGAGGCCATAAAATGGTTTGATGAAATGATGAAAAAACAAGTGTCCACCAGACCGTCTGACATTTTCTACATTGTTAAGATATGCTTGTCGTAACAAAGATTTCCGCTTTGGTTCTCGGTTGTGTAGATTATTGTATTATCGTCGTTGTCGATTGAATGAGAGAGGCTTGATTCAGAAGGTTATTGATGGGTTAGTGAGGCAGTCCAACATCAGTGAAGCAGAGATATTGGTGAAACTTGGAAAGGATAGTAGATATTCTTGTTATAACAGCCTTAAAATGCCTAAGTTTGATACTTAATATAGATTCCCTGCCCTGTGTTATGTTTCAGGTAATTAGATCAAAGTTGTTTGTTATTTAGCTCTGTTGAAAGATGCTGAATTAAAGTAGTGAATCAGGTATTACTATCTTTTAACCAAAAAAAAAGGTATTACTATCTTTACTTATTTATAGTATAAGCTGTTTTATATTTTCATTATTAGTTAAATTGACCTTATTGTAATACTTCTTATACTATAATATGAAGTGTATTTTTTTTTATGGTTTATTTTCTATTATAGACAAATTGTTTAATTTGCTATTAATGCTAAACTGTTTACTGGTGCCAAGGGCATGTTTATTTTTAGGTGCATAGTACCATATATGTCTATGATACTTGGAAAACTTATGAATTCGTATATGAAGAGAATCCTTAGCTTTGCAAATTTAAAATCGGGTTTTCCTGTTTCATGAACCAACCTGTCATTAGGAGGTGGTAATACTTATAGATCAATGGGCGAAGTAAAAATAGTGAATGTTAAATAAGTGCTTCTCAACATAGCTGAAACACCCATGAATTGTAATATCATATACTTGAATGATTTGTTGGACACATATTCACATCTGATACAAATGTTGATGATTCACCAATATAAATGCACTGCTATAGTTCTATGTTTCCTCTCAACCTCTCTTCCTTCCTTTCTCTACGTATGGCTGGACAAGGGATTGGTTGTTGAATAGCTTGAAGTCTTAAGGTGATGTTTCCTTGAAGGGGATGGAGTTACCCTGAGGTTTAGCTGTTAATTAATTAGTCCCTTACAGTGGTATATGACAGTCTTACAACTGAAGATCTAGTATCTATAACAAGAAACTGATCTTGTTAACGGATTAAAAACCCCTATTGCTATGAAGTATCTGAAATGTGTGATAAAAGAAACCACTAATCCCAGAATTTAATTGAATAGTGTAGATGTAAGATCCTTGCTAGTACTTAGACAGTGAGACAGAGCTTCATATTTATATGAAGTGGGTCACAAAAGATAGGACTACTGAATTTGAAATCGAAGATATGGTGATGATGAGAAGAGGTGTGCTTCTTGAAAATCTAAAAGAGTAGCTGTGTCCCTTTTGGAATGCTGATTCAACTGTGAAGTTAAAGTTGCTTCCGAAGTTAGATATTTAACTGTGCTCACCTTGTCATTTGCCTGAAGCCAAGCCAAACCTACTAATCCGAGGATCCTACCAGCAACCTTACCAAATGTTCCAAAACAAAAATTTTGAACCTCATCAACAAATACGACAAGGAAGTGGAGATGAAGACGTGAAACACTTCTTTTGTGAAGTTGATTCATGTGTCTATAGCAATGAGCAGGTTGTGAAGGTCTGCTACTTACTGTGTTTACATTTTGTTTTTCTTGCCTTGTATACCATGTTAAATACTTCCTGCATCTTAATTGCCTTTGTGTCTGTCTGTTGTGACATAAGTTTAATTAAAGCGGTGAAGTGCTTCGTATAATATAGAGCTTACTGGTATGGAAGGCACAACATCCCTCACTCTGTCAGTCTGTCTGTCTTTGTACTTCATTACGTTACTTTTTCCTTAAAAGGTACAGTAGCATAACCTAGTCTAATTAATAAACAGAAAGTTATTTTATGATTCCAACTCCTAATAATGTATGGATTATGATTAAAACTCTTAATTTTTTAAAAACAAAATAGAAAGGAAGTACAGTAAACTTCTATTCCATAATAATGTGAGGATTGACTTGAAAAAAGGGGATTTTATTGTAACCTGAGATTAAAAAATAGTAATGGGAAAGCAAATAGGCGATTAAAATATGACTTTTACTTGATGTTTTGAATGTTCAACTAGCTAGACTTTTCAAAATAATATTTGTCTCTTTGGTGTTTGGTCCATATAGGCTACCCATCACCTAATGTTGTATTATGATGTATGGTGACTTTTCTCTGCTATCACTTGTTAACTTCTAATGTTGAATCATCTTCTTGCTGCAACTGCTTAGGCTAAATTTTATCTGTTGAATAGTTCATCTACCCCGCATTGAATATTGGAATACGTGTTGAATTATGCAGTCTTTGATTTCATGTTGTTAAATTGAATTACTTTCTCTGGCTTCTAAAGGTTTCCTAACTGTAACATTGCTTCCCTCAACATCTTACTTAGACATGGCATGCTTTGCAATCTCTTGGTCCTCTTTGCTGATCACTCTGCTTATTTGCTCGTTAAACTGTATTGCAGTAGCTGAGCCATCCTACGTGTTTTCCCTTTGCCCAGACAAGCAGACTGCTGCTCCAAGTAGCGTATATCAGACTAATGTTAATACGCTTCTCTCTTTCCTCTCATTCAACTCTAACAATGAAAACCGCTTCTATAACACAACTGTTGGGACTGGAGCCAACAAGGTATATGGTGTCTTTTTCTGCCGTATTGATCAAACAGTTTCTTTCTGCCAGGAGTGCTTCTCCTTGGCTAATAACTCGTTAAATTCCCATTGCCTTGGAAAGAAAGAGTCTGTAGTATGGTATGATCAATGTATGATACGATACTCTAATGATTCTTTCTTTGGTACCATGAATGATGCTCCTATGATACCAATGTGGAACAGACAGAATGCTGTTGACATACAAAACATTACAAGCAACCAAACCGAATTTACCCAAGTTGTGCTAGAAACATTGGGAGATGTTTCATCCCAAGCAGCAGCAGGTCTGTCAGGCAAAAAATTTGCAACAAAAGAAGGGAAATTTTTGTCCAATTTGACAAGTATGAACTTGCTTTACACACTTGCTGAATGTACCCCAGATTTATCTGTGAACGATTGCAACACTTGTCTCCAGATGACCATTGGCAATATGACAGAGATGTGCAACATGAAGGCTGGTTGTACTATGATGAATCCCAGTTGTAATATGAGGTACGACATATACGCTTTTTATGGAGATGCTCTCACACCTGCTTCAGGACCTTTCGCCTGTTCCCGTTTCCGGAGGTAAGATAACTTCAATAAGGTTGCATTAGTTGACGCAATTTATCCATTTACATTCAACCACTACAATTAAGGCCTAGGAAACCTTTTTTTTTTTAAAGTCTTATTTATTGCTCCATATTCACCATGGACCTAGAACCATTTTCATCCCATGGCTATATCTGATGTCCATATTCAATGTCATCTAGTAAAAGTGAATAATGCTGTTTATTTATGTCAAACAGATACCTCTAAAAATACTTCATCCATGTCAAGGCGGAAAAAGATGTTACTTATTGTTGGTGTCAGCATTTCAGCTATTTTGGCACTGATGATCCTACTTGGGGCTTGGGTTTGATGTTCAAAAGAAAAATCCAAGAAACCAGTTGGAGGTAAGAGCACAACAGGACCTTTTCACCCCCTTTCTTTGGTTCCAACCCTTTATAATAGTCTCTTGCTCTTTGTCAACAACCAGCTTAGATTAGTATTGTAAAATGTAAATTTGTAATCTTAGAGTGTACTCATAAGGATTCTTTGAAACTTTTTAGATTAGAATAGATTCATTCCCATGTTAAATAGTGAGTGGTGGATATTATAGTTGATTGCACTACAACCTTAAATCAATTCAAAAAAATTAACAGTGGAATATTTTGGATCATTGCTTGTAGAAGAAATGGATGAAATTGATACTGTAGAGTCCTTGAAGTTCGACTTCTCCACAATAAGGAAGGCAACCAATAATTTTCTCAGCAGATAAAAAGCTAGGAGAGGGTGGATTTGGTGAGGTTTACAAGGTAAAGTTGCTGGAAGTAACTCCTAAGCAAGGTCACACTGCTTTCTGTTGTATGAGTTATCGTAATCAGACATGCTTCATTGTTTGCAGGGACAACTTGAAGATGGACGATATATAGCTATAAAGAGGTTGTCAAGTAGCTCTAAACAAGGCATTGGTGAGTTTAAGACTGAAGTCGTTCTAGTTGCAAAGCTTCAACACCGGAATTTGGTCAAACTCTTGGGCTTTTGCCTGTCAGGAAAGGAAAAGATACTTGTCTATGAGTTTTTTGCCTAATATGAGTCTTGACCGTTTTTTATCAGGTAGTTTTACTGCTGTAGTTTTGATGCTTAAATATCTTTTTGCTCAATTTTAATGCATAGGTTGGTTAATTATACATCTTGTAACCAGATCCAACAAAAACGGGAATCTTTAAACTGGAAAACAAGATTAACAATCATTGAAGGAATTGCAAAAGGGCTTCTTTACCTTCATGAAGATTCTCGACTCAAGATTGTGCATCGGGACCTCAAACCTAGTAATATACTGTTGGATGAAGATATGAATCCTAAGATAGCTGATTTTGGCATGGCAAAGCTTTTTGGGATAGATCAAACTCAAGATAACACTGACCGAATTGTTGGAACATTGTGAGTACTTGTGAATATGTTACACTTTCTTCATGTCCTTAGTTATGTGTCTTTGTTTTTATGAAAATTTACGTTAATGTTGCTGAAAAATGCCCAATAACTTAGAGCTTGTATACCTGATTTTGCAGCGGGTACATGGCTCCAGAATATTTGATTACAGGACACTTTTCTGTTAAATCAGATGTGTATGGTTTTGGTATCATAATCTTGGAGCTTGTTAGTGGTCTAAAGAACAGGTTTTCACATAAACAGCAAATTGACGAGTCACTTCTATATAGGGTAATTTTTTTAATTTTTGAACTGTTTTATTTAAAAAGTTATCTTGATTCATACAACCTATTAACCAAAATATAGTGCAGGCTTGGAGGCTGTGGAATGAAGGGGTTTCCTATGAAGTTGACTGATCCAACTTTTGGCAATGATTTTCCTGTTGAAGAAATGGCTAAGTGCATCCACATTGGTTTGTTATGTGTCCAAGAAGATGCAGCTAAGAGACCGCGAATGGCATCAATTGTTGCTGCGCTTAATGGAGAGTCAATTTCTCTGCCTTTACCAACCCCGCCTCGTTTCTTGAATGACTCTGTAGATTATGGAATCAAAGACGGTGGCTCAGACAAATGTACTCCTGCA